TCTCTTAATAAAGATGAGAGCTCATCCAATCCCGCAAAACCAACCTGGCAGACCCGCTGCCCTGCGCTACCCTGGCCCTTCGGAAAAAAGGGCCTGGCAAGCAGCTCTGCAGATGGAACAGTATGTGGCCTTTGGAGGGGGCAGAGGGGGTGTCTGAGTCAGGAAAATCTGTCTTATTTTTTTATTAATTTACATTATCTGAATATATTGCATCAATCTCAGATCCAGTGAAGCTTGAAGACATAGTTTAAACTTCCTGGAAAGTAGGAAGAAAGGGATCATCACTCATGCCTTTGCTCATATGGGTTCACATTTTAAAGATTGATTAAGCACAAAATGGGATATTTTCGGATACAGTCTAGGTTTAAATGCTAAGCTTTGCTGCTTTCCTTTTAGCTGTGGACAGGTATCCACACACTTATCTAATGGTAAGCAATAAAGGAAATAAGGCATCTTTAACCCTTTGAAGCCCAGTCTATGAGAAAATAGAGAAATGTGATTCTGCTCGCTGTTATCAGGTATATCTGACTGTGTAAAACAAGGTTTTGAGCAAAGTTTAAATGACCGTTAAATTATGCAAAAGGTCTCAAATGCAAAACATTCAGAAACCCAGATCTGACATATTCTTAAGGTATATGTTATTATTAGGTTTATTAGTTTTATTAAAGAGCTGACATCAGAATCTACACCACAAGAAAGACATTGACAATGAGTCGAAGTAGGGAGAAAATATAGCTGTGTTTAAGGGTTAAAAATGTAAGAAAAACAATCTGCTTGCTTGATTTGATTTGAAATGGGGAACAATGAACGTCTCAATGTGTGCAGCACCCACTGTGATGCAAAGCCACAATCCCATTTCTGACGTTGTTTTAGATTGCTGGATGTGATTGAATTCGTGCATCAAGATCAGTGTCTCAAATTAAGACTATTAAGGTGCATCAAGTCAATCCACTCACTCTCCACTTAACACACACACACACACACATTGATTGAGCAAGCCAACAGGATGATAGACGCTTGGTGCTGGAGTGAAAAACAGCAGATAAACAAACACACACTCACACATTTCTATGTATTTAATACACACACAGGTGGTTTTGTTGGATCAATGTTTTCAACAATGCAAACATCCTTCTCCAAAATATAACCCAACCAAGCGCTTGTTCATGAGGGCTAAGCCAACCTACAATTCTGCTAAAATAAAAATGCTTAATATAAGTTACATCCATGAGGGTGTTTTATGTAAAGGAATGTTCTCGCCTGCACTGTGATTTTTTTTCTAAACCTGAAAAAATGCTGATGTGGCCCAAATCCAACCAGGAAGTGCCTACATTTTTTGGATAATGGTTGTGTTGAAAAACAAATGTATGATTGATTTAGCACCATCCGACTAGTCCATCCACGTAACTTAAACATCCATTTCATCGGCTAATCAGAGCTTTTGTTGTGGAAGCAGCGGGTTCAGGAGGGAAAGACAGACATCCTGATCCCCCAAGAGGTTTCCAGGCCAAGAGGAATTTATTATTCCTCCATCTAGTTCTGGGTCAATCCCGTGGTCTTCCAAGAAAATTGTCATATACACATACCAGTTTTTCATACACATTTTAAAAAGAGCTGTCGGCTCGCTCTCATCGTTTCACATATGGGAATCTTATAGCTCATTTAAAGCAGGACTTGAGAACGATAAAAAAACATTCCCATGGTTTATGCCATTGTGTTGAAGAAAGAAGCAGCATTGCAGTCCTCAATGACTGAAGAGCCCAATACAAATCATAACGGATCTCATCTTTGCTGTGTGACACAGTTTATCAGTCCAAAGCCAACAACATACAGCTCTTTTGGAGGTGGTGACATATGAAAAGAATGCAATGCTGAGAGGCAACCGGACTGAGGCAGTAACAGCAGCCTCCACGTGTCCTCTTGCTCAGATGTACTGTATATCGGGGAAGCATTCAGGGAGTGCGCAACACTTGCTGGATAGTTAGTAACTCTGCTCATCTTATCACGCTGCAGTGACATTTATCCCGGTCCTTGAGAAATCTTGTTTTTCTTTTCTAAAACATATTTTTTGTACCTGCCTGTGGTTTTTTTGTTCTGTTCGTGCTACTTCATTCTTATTTCAGTTTCTGTCAGCTCAATGCTGTTTTGGTGTCGCATTTCCTCAGTTAAACTTCTCATTTAGTCATTTTACAGGTGACATCTTTATAAAAACTGATCCTTTACAATATTCTGCCTATCATGGATTATTTTTCTTTACATGTGGAAATGAATATCTAGATGTTTTTCAGAAATATTGTTAAATGAGCAAAACAGCTTTAATTGCATCGACAAGTTCCAGGAATTTTTATTCTGATATCAGTGAACAGAGAGTTTTTATACCCTGAAACTGCAGCATGAAGGAGCCCTCCCGGCCTGGAGAGGAGATGGTGGGTTGGTGTTGATTCAGGCAGCTGCTTCTCCATCTGCGTGTCTGTGAGGAAAACCACAAAGATAATAATGTGCCGCATTGAAAAAATCAGAGCTCGGCAGTTTTGAATGTTTTCTGTGTTTTTGTTTTCTTTGGATACGTATCCTCCTTCTGCACCTTTTGTCTCTGAGCTCGCTGGGTTAGTTCTGTTTAGCTTTCCCTGTTTAGCTTTCTCTGCACTGGACTGGTGTCTGCCGGCTGGTGTCTGCTTTCAGCCCTTTCAACCACAAAGTGCTAATCTCCGTGAAAAAAGTCCCTGAGCCCTGTTAACCTCACTCCAATATTCAGGATTTTTACTTACTACTAAATATGTGAAACAGAAAAAAGAACAGAATCCCTTAAACTCTTTCATTGGAATGATTCTAATAGAATTTATTGTTCTGTCCCAGTATCTATATACATGTATGTACTTTGTGTAAGAAGAATGATGTACAAGAATTGGTGTAGTATCACACATGTGTATGCCTTTGCACTTTAACTTGTCCTGCGGTGTGTGTTACACCATGTTTGTGGTTTGTCAACGTGAACACAGATCAGCCCCATTATTCAAACTTCACTGGTGTCGGATCCCCTCAAGGCTTAATTAGCTCTGACTGGCTAAGGGTCGTTAGTGATTTGGGGCCTCTGTGAATGGATGCCTAATTGTTTTGGCGCATGTAACACTGTTAAGGTGGAAGGTCCATGTAAAACATTTCCCCACAAAGAGCTACGTTATAGTGTGGTGGTCGGCGTTGTTCACAGTTAGTTTGCGGTCGTGTGTGCTTTTGGAGTTTTAGACATTTAGTTTCTGTGTAAAGGTTGAAATACACCTTGATTATGGTATGCATTAGCTGAAGGGTTGTTTTGATATGCTTCTGCGTCACAAGGTTTATTTCAGTCCTGAATGACGCTATGGAGAATGTGACAACTGAGCTAAACCCCTTCCAGCACATCCCAAAGATTCTCACTGGGGTTAATTCATGTGTGAAAATGATGTCTCATGCTGCCCAAACTACTGTTTCATTAATAAAACCTGACAAATTCCGGCACTGTCACCTTAGAATGTGCCCCCGCCATCGGGGAAGAAAAAAAATTCACTGAAGGAATAATCTGTTCCTTCAGGCAGTCACCTGAAGTTCTTTCTTGAACTTAGACCTGACCAAATGCAGGAATCACAGATCATAGCACTTGCTTTCTCTTTTTGGCGTTCCATCTTAAAAATATTGATTATATAAGTGATAAAACTAACAAAAAGAACACATGTGAGCACAGATTATTTTTTAATATGCCCAATTAATTTAGTGCACCTCTTTAATTTATGATGTATGATTTCACAGGTAGATCATTCATAAAAGGTCACTGACACTATTGTACATTTTCAGACTACTGGTGACTGTCCGTATAGCTCTTTAAGAGCTCTCATCCCACACACTACTCACCTTAGCACTCAAAATAGCCCACCTTTTGTGCTTTATATACTACTACCACTACACAAGCTCACATTGCCACTAAGTGGAAGTACAATAGCAGCCCCAGTGCAGTCTGGTTAAACAGCTGGATAATTGCAGTCATCATAGCTGAGAGGGAGTGTGGGTGTGCTAATGGTGAGTGCGTGTTTGTTCTGTAACTTACGTTTGTTTTTCAGAGTAGATGAATGGTAAGTGTGCATTCAACTGCTGTTCAGAGAAAATGAATGAGTAGGGCGGACCGAGCTGCATTTGAGCCCTTGCTAGGCCTCGTTGTGGTTTTGGTTGTATTTTATCAAATGTCTGAAATGTCAGTCATGTCACTTTTTCTAACGATAGTCAGTCAGAGCACTGACAGCCAATTATTTGTCAGGCAGGAAATGGTCCCCAAGAATAGTGAGTTATTTATTCAGCAAATGATGAGAAAAGCTTCCATTTGGATGACTTTGAAAATATTCTTATTAGTTAAAAGCCATCATAAAGATATTATTACATCAGATTAAAATATTTAACGTTCAATGCGGGATATATTATGTTATTTACAGCAATATTGAACTTGTAATTTACAGAGATGTATGTATGTATGTACAGTATTTATGTATGGATGTGTATATACATACATATATAAAAGCAGAACATTCAGAGATATCCAGGAGTTCTTTTAACTAGGCATGCAACCTGTATCTCAGCAGAAATTTAACTGCAGAGACATGGAATATATGAAGGTTTGAAGGCTTTTTGCTCATTTTTAAAACGTTTTTTTTTAGGTTTTGCAGAGTGAAGTAAGGATGAACAGTTCATATTTCTCTCTCTTCACCTAACAAACACAGCATTACACATCCATTGCTGCTGCTAATCAACTTGGCTACTATAGCAACAGGGCTACTGAGAGAGGACAGCTAATTAGAGCCCATTACGGTGCTCGCGATTGGTAGTCAGACTGGAAATAGCCTATGCCCAGGCCGTTCGGTCCTTGTTCTGTATATTGGCACGTGTTGTCAACAACAAGCACTGAACTCGATGGGCAGCAGAAGTCAGTGTACTGAGAAGTGCTGGAAAATTAAATTTACCCTATTTTTGTCTTTCAGAAAACCTTCTCTTTCACCATGTGGAGAAAAACTAAGTTGGCTCTCCACTAAGCTGGATACTGAGGCAAAGCCATTGGGAGAAACCAGATCTACTTCTGTCACATGGATAAGGAATAATTCTGCATCGAGAGTGTTCAAGACAGTTGTACACTAAGCAAAACAGTCACAGACATCAGTAAACCCCTTTCCTTTACCGCCTTCTTGTGAATCCCCTTCGACCTCGCGCCATCAGCATGAGTGGTCTGGCAGGGAAGCTGGACCCTCGGAGGATACAGTGGCGCTCCACATGGAACACGTTTGCCTCCCGTGTCCTCAGGACCAAACCTGTGGAGTCCATGTTGGACACGGCCATGTCGGGCACCAGCTCGCACGGCACCAGACTGGCCCGGGTGCTGTCCACGGTGGATCTGGTCTCGCTGGGAGTGGGCAGCTGCGTCGGGACGGGGATGTATGTGGTCTCCGGGCTGGTTGCCAAGGAAATGGCTGGTCCCGGGGTCATTGTGTCCTTCATAATCGCCGCTGTGGCCTCCATACTGTCAGGTGAGACTGGAGCTGATTTACATATATGTAAATCTGGCCATTTATGTAAATCTAGCAATTTTAGCCTTTAGTTTAAAGCAGTCATTCCCTATCTGACAGTCTATCCTATATAGGCTTGTTTGATTAAGCCCTAGTATGAAAGATATGGGCTTTCAAGGGCAAAGACATTACATGGACAAAGATATCATTTGAGAGCCTCTCCGGGGGTCTTTGACTACGTCCCCAATGCCCCTATCAGTGCCTTTAATTTCAGCCTTTATATCCTCTGTGTGCCTGCATTGTGTCTGTCTCTGTGTCCCAAAGGGGTGTGCTACGCGGAGTTTGGCGTGCGTGTGCCTAAGACCACGGGTTCAGCCTACACCTACAGCTATGTGACCGTGGGCGAGTGCGTGGCTTTTTTCATCGGCTGGAACTTAATCCTGGAGTATCTGATCGGCACGGCCGCGGGGGCGTCAGCTCTCAGCAGCATGGCCGACTCTCTGGCCAATCACAGCATTAGCAACTTCATGATCTCACACATTGGGACGCTCCACGGATTGGGTAAGAGCTTTTAGTCCTGCTAGTGAAAAATAATTTGGAGATTAAGTAGCTGTAACTGTACTTTTTTTTTTGACCTGACAGCATATTATCTGGTATTGTTGGTGTTTCTGTACAAAAAAAATGGCCGGGCCCTCAGAAGCATTAATAGCATGTTAACAAGGCACGGTGCCAACCCAAAGAAAATATTATGTATTTCTTTGGAGAAACCAACCCTACTCAACATGAATCAGCAGATCTTTCCAATTCGAGTAAAAATATGGATGGTGAAATATGAGCACCATGTGTGGTGTTGTTCAAACCACTCTGGAACATTTTTCCAGGATGTATCATCTCAGCTTATCTTGGAAGTCTCACCATGGAGCAAAGTAAGAGTTGGAAGTGCCATCTTGTATTTGCAAGCAGCTTATGTGACAGCGTTTTCCAGGTCATGGACATGAGGAGGATGTTTTGGAGTCTGGTGGAGGGCTTTAGCTGCTGAGTGTGCCAGGAGGGTGTCTGTCTGGGTGAAGCTGCTTCATCACAGTCTTCCTGTTGGCCACTGATGACGGCTGGTGCGAGACTACGCTAGCTCTGCCGTTTGACCCAACATTCCCCAACTCCAACAGCCTGTCACAGCCAAGCCCCCCCTCTAGCCGATCCAATTTAGCACCGGTAACCGACACAGTTGTGCTGGTGGTCACATGGTGAGCGGCGTGCCCAGCTGCTCCAAGAGCTGATGGAAAGTTGATGTTTTTTTTTTCCTGCTGGAGATTTTTCCCTCCACACCCAAGGAAAAGTGTGGAAATTAGCTAAAAATATATGTCATTAGTTCCCAAACATGCACAGACTGTGTGCTTTCGGAACTGAAGCATTGTGTTGGTTTGAATAGGAATTACTACCTGGCAGTAGTTTCACTGTTGTGCCAAATGTGAATAAGTTTCCATTTGCAATGTTGGTGTTAGTGATTATGACAACTAGCAGGTCTGTATGTGTGATGTTAAATGTACCAGAAAATAGTGATGTTTACTGAGTTTTCGAGGGACTTTATGGTCAGTGGGCATACAACAGCTTTGACAACATTTCAAACAACTTGCTAAATATTCTGATATATCATATAAGGCTAAAATGCATTTGCTCCAACGAAAATGCATAGATTTACTGATATTTTCACAGATTTGATGACTGTTATTAGTGGTGTAGCACAGAAAGACCATCTGAAACTGAACCTGTTTATGATTTTTCTGTAAACAATGCGCTGAATCTCTCATTATAAGTTGAGAAATATTAGTTATAGCCACTTCAGTGACTTAAAAACATGACTCTCCGTGCCTGTCTACTTTTGTGGGCATGTGTGTGTTTCCTCTGTAGGTAAAGGAGAGCAGTCATACCCAGACCTGCTGGCTCTGCTGATAGCACTGCTGGTCACAGTCATCGTGGCTCTCGGTGTGAAGAACTCTGTCGGTTTCAACAACGTGCTGAACGTCATCAACCTTATTGTGTGGGTGTTCATGATGGTCGCCGGGCTGTTCTTCATCAACGGAGAGAACTGGGACGAGGGCCGGTTCCTTCCCTTTGGCTGGTCAGGGGTAGGCACGCCTCTAAACCAAATGGCACCTTGTCTGTGTGTCTTTTTATAAGCTGAAACATCCCTTGCCCCTTTCGGGTTGCAGGTGATGCAGGGCGCCGCTACCTGTTTCTACGCCTTCATCGGGTTTGACATAATCGCTACAACAGGAGAAGAGGCCAAGAGTCCCAACACGTCCATCCCCTACGCCATCACCGCCTCCCTCATCACATGCCTCACTGCCTATGTCTCTGTAAGTTACCTCTCAGACTAAGAAATCCTGTCCACACAAACAGGAACACTATCTTCTGAATTTACCCTGCTCAAAGAGCATTTAAGAGTAAGAAGAGGACAGTTGGCTGTAATTAAAGCAGAAGTGGGATTTCACACAAGTATGTAGTTTTTACAGCTATTTTAAATACACGTTTTTGAAAATAGTGCAATTTTCATCTCTAATAGAAGAACAAAAGACACTATACATTTATTTACTCTCTGCTACTTTTTTCTTATTCCTGGTCTTCACACTTGCCAGCTTCATCTTTAGCGGTTTTTCGCTCTTATTGACCTACTTGTGATGCAAGCTGACAGTGTTGGCCCAAAATGTTGAAATGTTTAGAAAGATCGAAAGATCCTTCTCCTGCACTCTGACTGGGTGGGTGTGTCTTTTATCTCTGTTTTTTTTATTATTCAGCTTGCACAGCCCTCAGACTCCCTGATGTGCGCAGGGTGGTTGTTACTAGGGTTTTTTCCGCATTGCTTAAGGGCAAAGATTGCATCAACTTCAAAACTTAACAACTTCTGTGTTCAAATCTGTATCTCCCTCTTATCTAACTCGTCACACAGAACCTCTGCTGCGCTCACAAACTTTCTCAGCCTTTTTTTAATCTCCATGTTTCTTTGATCTATCAGGCTCCTTGGAATAACTTCCCTGTTCCCTGGAAATACTATCTGTGCACTGTAGTTCAGTTCTTTGAATCAGTTTTGATAAGTTGCAAATTGATTTTTTTAGAATGAATTCTGTCATGTCATATTTTGAAGGGACTTTAAAATTAGAAAATAAGAAACCATTTTTCATCCAAAATGGCCAAATTCTTTGTCAAACAGGGATTTCCCATATTCAATGGACAGCTCATTTATATCCCGTCTTTAAGAGGGCATTGGGGCAAATTCAGTCATTCTGCATAAAAAAATTATGTTAGAACTGAATAATTATTGGGGCAATTTACTGGTTAAGAGGGAAGAGCATATGAATGACCCATTTTGAAAGTTTACATTTCATTTGTCCAGCTTTGAATAATTTAGCATGTAAGAATTAGCACTGATATCGACTGTGTTCAGGCATAATGTTTTAGCCTTATCTTTCCATTGTGACATCACAGAACCAGATCCTGCTGTTATCATGACAAAATCTTCCCAATTAGTATGCACTAGGAACCTGTTTTAGACCAAATCATAATCTTTCCCTGAACACATTGAGCATGGTTTGTTTCCCAACTCCCATCAGGTACTTTCCATGACTAATTTTCATCATGAAAATGAAAGCAAGATGGTGTGAAGGCAGATGACTTCAACTGTGGGTTTAAAGTGGAATTTTGGTTGTTTGTACATACGCTTAGCCAGTCTGAGTCTTACTCAAATAAAGGGCGATGTTTTACTGAGAGGGGAGTCCATGTGAAGGGGTTAATAATTGTGTATCCATCGTATCCTTTTTATCATTATATTCATGCATAACTAACTTTTTTACAGCCCAGCATTTGTGGCAGATGTCTCTGCATGAACTCACACGTCAGACACAAGGATAGAAAAAAAAAATGCACACACACGTACAAAAACATTGAGACAGAACCATGACTAATGAACATTTTCATTTGCAGAGTGCTGAACACAGTTTTGTTGCTGTTTGAAGAATTTGCCTCTCACACATAAGTGCCCTTGTTTTTTTTGCAGAAACAGCATCACTGTATCAGTGATATCCTTTTTTCCCTGTGATAACCTGTGTTAAAGCAATTGTATAATGAGGTTTGAGCAAGTTTGCAGATTTTTGGGAAATGATCAGCGCTGTTTTTGTATCTTCCATCCAGGTTTCTGTGATTCTGACACTGATGGTTCCCTACAATGAGATTGATGAAGACGCCCCACTAATGGAGATGTTTGCTATGCATGGCTGTTATTTCGCTAAGTATATTGTGGCCGTTGGATCTATAGCTGGACTGACTGTCTCCCTCCTGGGATCCCTGTTCCCCATGCCCAGGGTGATCTATGCCATGGCTGGGGACGGCCTGCTGTTTAAGTAAGGCTATTTAGAGGTTTTTTTAAATATTATTCATGTCCTGGTAGTGTGTGTCTCTGTGTCAGTGGAATCATTTTTTGTGTGTGTAGGTTCCTGGCGCATGTGTCTTCATACACAGAGACCCCTGCGGTGGCCTGTGTGGTGTCAGGCTTTCTTGCTGCCCTGCTGTCCCTTCTGGTCAGCCTGAGAGACCTCATAGAAATGATGTCCATTGGGACACTGCTGGCTTATACCCTGGTAAAGACAATGGATTTGATTAGGCAAAAGGAAGAGTAGTTTCTTGTGCCTTGAGGAGTGTGGTGTTTCTGTCCATGATGGCTGATGGCCCTGTCTCGTGCTCCTCAGGTGAGCCTCTGCGTGCTGCTCCTGCGCTACCAGCCTGAGGGCGACATCCACGGCTTCGTCAACTTCCTCTCTGAGGAGCAGAACAACAAGAGGAAGGAGGGCGTTCTGGCCGAGTGTGAGAAAGACGCTTGCTCCCCGACCAGCGAGGCCGACGAGTACGGGGGTCCAGCCACCAACACGTGCGGAGCCAAAAACCTGCCCTCGCTGGGCGACAACGAGATGCTGATCGGCAAGCCAGACAAAACCGCCTACACTGCCAGCCACCCCAACTACGGAACGGTGGACATGACCACGGGCATCGAAGCCGAGGAGTCCGAGGGAGGGATGTCCCGCCGACTGAAGAAGCTGATTGGGCCCCGCTACTACACCCTGAGGATCCGACTCGGCCTCCCGGGAAAAATGGACAGACCCACTCAAGCCACAGGGAAAACCGTCACTGTTTGCGTGCTGCTGCTCTTCATCTTCAACTTTGTTTTCTGCTCCTTCATCATTTTTGGTGAGAACAAGATCAAATCTGGCTCCACATTAAAGTGTGACGGGAGCACACTAGGCATGGCAAGATTCACCGATGCGTATCGGAACATCGGAACGACCTGTGCGATACGGTTGCATCGATTTGCAAACGTCTGCATCGGTAAAAACCGCACATAAACTCGAGATGCATCGTATAAAACTACCTGCATCGATACAAACCGATTATTATCTTCTATTATTATAACTTTTTAGAAACGTGTCTTTGAGTTTTAGTTGCGTTTCTTGTAAAGTTTCAGAGAGACAATCACTCTCTAAGTTGCACTTCCTTTGTTTCAAAATAAAAGGCACAGTTAGCTTGCGTGCCATAACTTGAACTATGTAGTCCATGGTGTACTTTTCTCCTGCATTGCATCGCATCGTATTGTATCGTATCGCACTGTATCGCAGCATTTTAAATTTAGATCGTTCTGTATCGCACCGGATCGCAGGAGGTTGGAGAATCGTATCGAATCTTATCACTAGAAATTCCATGAATCGTGAATGTATCGAATCGTTGGCTGTGTATCGAGATGTGTATCGTATCGCCTTGGTGTTGAAGATTCCCATCCCTAGAGCACACATTCATTGTTCGATTTTCTTTTTGTTCCACTAGGAGCCAGCAGTATTGGGGAGGGTCGCTGGTGGGCCTTGCTGCTGTTAATCCTACTGATCATCTTCATCGCCCTGCTCGTCATCATCATCGTCCAGCAGCCAGAGAACCCTAAGCGGCTGCCCTACATGGCGCCCTGTGTGCCCTTTGTACCTGCTTCAGCCATGCTGGTTAATATCTACCTCATGCTTAAACTGTCTGCCATCACGTGGATACGATTTTCGGTCTGGTGCCTTGTGGGTAAGCCTCCACTCTCCCAAATCATGTGTTTTGAGGTCATGTCATTTTGTTGTCACATTTTTAAAGACAGGATATGAATTTGACAATCTGGAATAGATCAGAATAGTTGATGTTTGTAACCATTCTAATCTTAGTTATGCAGAAACTGAAAATAACTGAAGTGTGTGTCTGAAATGCTGCCCTCCTTTGGCTATTTTTGCAGAATAATGAAGGCTCATTTTATCTCATCTCATGTTACAGCAACAGTCTTTTTCACTTTTTGGGAGTTTATTCAAATATTGTGAAGCAGTCTCCCCATTTTTTATTTCATACTATAGATGAATGTCTATATCATTTTTAAGAAAAGTTTATATTCTTTAAACTTTAGTAATTTTGATTTGGTTGTTAGCTCTTAAATTCATGGCAGAAGCTATTGAGCCAAAACTTTGTACTTTATGTGCTTGAGCTTGTTTTTTAGCTGCCGATGTTGTGAAGACATTTTTAACACTTTGGATGAGTTTTTATTACATCATGTGACAGAAACTTCAGTCCTGCCATTGTCCCATCTGTATATTAAAAATCTGAATAATGGAGTTTGGAGCTGGTGAATAACACTCTGAAAGGAACATTTCTTTGAAAAGTGTCCACTCAGATTTTCAATGAAGCACACATAAACGACATCGGTCGTAAACGGTGTGTGTGTGTTGATGCGCGTGTGTCTCCACAGGTGTGCTCATCTACTTCGGCTACGGCATGTGGAACAGCACGCTGGAGATCACGGCCAGAGAGAACGAGGTGCACGCCTCCACGTACCAGCGCTACGACCAAGGGGTGGACGAAGGCTTCTGCGGCTTCGACGACGACTTCTACCCGCCGACCACTGACGCCTGGGCCGCCCCGGGCGGGGGGTCGGGGCCCACCCCTCCCCCGAAGGCCAAATCCGAAAGCGACGGGTTGCCATCCAAAGGTGGAGGCGGGGCGGTTGCCAAAAGTGGCCTTGCAGAGGAGGATCCGATGGATTTCTGAGGGGACTGACGTTGTGTTTTCCCTGAATGTACTGCCTTGTCTGCTGCCTGGGGGTGAAGGGAGGGGGAAGAGTGAGTGAGCGCATGAATGATAGTGAGTGCGTGCTTGTGTGTGGGCATGCCTGCATGTGTGTGCGTTTTTTTTTTTTTTTGTTGTTTGTTTGTGTGTAACTAACCCTTGGGCTAGATTGTTTCTGGGCAGCGGAACAGTTTGTCTTTTACCTTATTTGACGTAGCTCAGCATACTGCTCCCACGCAAACTCGGAAACCAAGGTCACAGGTGTCTTGACACATTCACTTGTTATCCACTGGCTGGAGTCAACATCCCACACGAGGAAAAATCAGCTATAAATGTGCAAACAAGGCAAGGAGATAAGATATAACGAGGATCAGTACTCTGAAGCAAGTGGCATTGCTTTCCGGGCAACTTTTTAACTGTTTTATAGACGGGAATTGTGCGATGCAGGAAAGAGGAGGGTGATGAGACAGAGCAGATGAATCAGCAGCGCACTTCCTGTTTAAGGGCTGGCAGGAAAGTTAGATGACAGCATGCCGGGCCTAAATGACTTCCCGTGTCCAGGTCTGACTTTCTCACCGGTCATTATTTTAAATATGAAAAATAAAGCACCTAACAGTCTCCATCTAAACAACTAGCCCAAGGGACTTAAAAGTGGATGTGGGTAAAAGGGAGTCGATGTTTTCTGTGACAAATAGTTTCTGGACTTTGCTTGCGATAGTGCCTTCATCTACTGTGTGTACGTTTCTGGTTCTGTCTTTTTTTCTACTTTCAGTTTGCCTGTGTATGTGTGGGGCTCCACTGTACATGCACTCAAATTCCACCTTTACATTTCTACTAACGTACGCGTGTGTGTGTGTGTGTGTATATATATATAAATTGGATTCTTCAGATTTTTTTCCTCTGTAGGTGTTCTTGTTTTGTTGTCCTGACTGCGTCCCAGCATGCACCTGAAAATCAGTTCACCTGCATCAAGGCAGCTCATGCTGTGACACATGCTCGTCTGTTTACCTAAAAAGATGAGAGAGTAGGTGGAAAAACAGGAAGGAAAGCCGAGCAGGTGGAATCTACTGAAAACCTGGATGATTTATTGTCATGAAGACCATGTTTTCTTTCTGTCTATGCTCTGACTTTTCTTGATGAAGGTCTTGCTGTGACCTAGATGGAATGCATTTTTAATTCTCTGAAAGAATTTATTTAAACAGGATACGATTGCCATGGGAAAAAAAATGAAATCTTAGCTCTCCTCCTTCTGCTGCTTTCTCTCTTGTCTCCATTTCTCTTTTTTTAGTATTTTTTCTGTCTTCAAGCTTCTACCACCTCTCTGCTCCTCCAAGTCTACTCCTTCTTCAGTTTCCCATGCATGCAATCTCTCTGATTTATCGCCGGAACATTTATTTCTCTTTCTGTGCTTCCACTCCTACCGAGGTCCAAGCTGCTCGTGAACCTTATCGTTCCCTTTTCTTCGTCAGTGTTAATGCATGCTCTGAAATCCTTCGCTCCTCACAGCGCATGTGTTCCAGCAGCCCCGAGGTGGTTGCAAAAATCATTTAAATCAGATCATAAATGTCTTAATGTGGTTCACCGTGTTGGAAAAATGAGGCAAATCTGCCTGCTGTGAGTTATATGGCAAGCAGGCGAATCTTTAGTAGGAGGTACTTTCATTTAAAAGCATAGTGAGCAGTCATAGCCCTGAGTGGGGTTTTTCTAATCATATATCATTCAGTTATTTTTTTATGTTGAGGGTGCTCTGTCTATCGCTTCTGGTGCTGATGTCTGCCCCAATTGTCCCCCTGATACCTCTCCCTTGTGCCCCCTGTTGCTGCATCGGTCCCTTCACGGGAAGCCTTATATGTCTAATGCACTAAATCTAAGTATGCCACGCTAAACACCCACCCTCTTCTCCCAAAAACATCCTCACATGAGAAAAAAGAAAAGAAAAAGTGTTCAGCATTTCACTTAAACTATTGCTGATATGCAAATGGTGGTGATTAAGAATACGGGTGGCTATTAATTTTGAAATCTGCACAAATGTTTCACAGCAATTGGAGAAACTGTCAAAAACTAACAAGGGACCATTGCTAGGACTAAAAGTTCCAGTTTGAAAAAAAAGTTATGTTTTATTTTTACCGTAGAAGATTTTATTTGGAATGGGAATGCTCTAAAAAAGACTTTACCGCTGAGAATATTGATCAAATATCCACAATTTTGTAACCATCCACCAGACACTGCTGAATACAGGTGTCATAATGAAGACAACCTATTGAAACAGTCAGTTACTGAACTTGATTTCATGGTCTCATGTGATTTCCTCCCATCATCTTTTCTAGAAATGTAGCTGGTATAAAGTTTTTGAAAAGAGAGAATTTCCCAGGGTCCTAATTTCAGAGGAAGTATGATATTAGACCAAGCTCAGTCTGCTTAACCCACAGGTCATCCATCTCTTTCTATAACATCTCAAGTGCATTTTGAGACTTCACAAACAGCTGCCATTGAAAAAGATCTGGGGTTCTGTTAGACTCAAAATGAAAGCATGGATTATTTTTTAATCATATCTCCCGAACAATGAAATATACAACGTTTCATCTTTCAGTAAGATCAAACATCTTCCCAGCTCTGTATCCTATCCTAGCTAAGCCAAAAGATCCAAATGTTCTGCCGTCAATGCTCAGCCAAAACAACCACGCTCTGACACTGGACTGGATTTGTTTCCTATGATTTCTGTTCCGTGTGTGTGACGGAAGGCTGTGTGGATGCATGCATAGTGCAGGCGTTTGTATCTTAATGTATGTGTTAGTGGTCTGCGCCTACATCTCGATGTGACCGTCTGGTGAATGTGTAGCATGCTTTCATGCACGGGGCCCAGACTATAAATGTTGTACTTGCATGTGGTGACCGAGTGTAACGGGGCACAGCAGACACCAAACCAAACCAAACGCAGGCGTAGGTCTCGCAGCTAGTCCTGGTTTCTGTGCTCTTGAGGGTAGACAGGCTATGTGGTATGCGAACAAGGACTCCGTCTGACAGAACCATGTAGCAACCACTCTATTTTGGAGAATGGTTCCTCCCACCTCCTCATTCAAAAACTTACAGTATGCCTACTTCCTGTATGTCCATCTTTTGACCCACAACCTCTGCAAGCCAAAGTCTACTATGTTTGTTTACTTTTAAAGTACAGACGGCTGTAGTTTTTTTTTTTAACTTAGCACTAATAATTCAACATAACTCACAGTTTTTCATGAAATGGTCTGTCAGCATCTCTTTTTACGAGTGACTTAAGCTAACAGTGCAAAGATTGTGTTCCAAATTCTACTTGCTTCTATTTGCTAGTGTTCTATTAAAATTCCTATTAGTATTAGTCTAAACTCCATTGACTGCATTAGATGCATTTGTCATTCTCTGAGACAATATGAGAAAAGTACAACACTGAAAAGGTGAATAGTATTTTTCTACAGCTGTTTCCCATCCACAGGCCTTCCTTTGGTGGGCGTGCTCTGCTGAGCTGGGTGAAAGTGTCAGTCTTCACTTTATGAGCTATTGTTTAATCACAAGGAGGCCTGGGAGAAATTGCTAAAAAATATATTTTTAACAAAGGTAGTCTCTCTGAAAAAGCTCATTTATAAAATGTAATCCTTTTCCTATGAGGGGGTTTTGAAATGGTTGTTATCAAGGTCCAAAGGACTTTAGAAGGTTTAGAAGTACCACAGAAAAAGAGAAAGATGTAGAAAATATTTTATTACAGTTATATGAAAGGTAAACCACAAACATAATTAAATATTGCCACTATTGCTTTTGAAGTCAACTATTTGTTGATTTTTGTCTTGAAGAAGGCGTGCCACGTTGCTCTTGTGCTGTGTTCGCTGTGGCCAAGTGTCCAGTCAGTGTGTGTGTTGGACTTGTTGAGATCGGTTTCTCTCCCAACAGCTAGATATTCCTTTTCTCTTCTGTATATTTTGGCACAAAGCTGTATAATATTGTTGTTTTCTATGTTAATTTTTCAAGGTTTCTTCCATATGTGTGTGTTTATTTGTTTTTTTGCTCCTTGGTGCACTGATCTTTTTTTTTTTTTTTTTTGCTGAGTTACTGATATTGCTTCCATGCAACAATGAAAGTTATTTATTGCAAATACCAAACAGTGGCTTGCTCATTTGTTCATATGACGTGAATATGTACACATGCACACACGCGCAGACAGGTAGCTAGGTAATTGTTTGTGTGTGAGTTCGGAGGTATCACTGTGGGTAATAATTTGCATAGCGAACTACCCAAGACAGATACAAACAAAAACTCCTTGATCAGTTTAGAATGACCAGTTAAGCTGATATGCATGTCTTAGAATTGTTGAAGGTTGCCAGAACACCTCCAGACATAAACGAGGAGAATGTACAGCTCCACAGTGAAGAGCACCAGACTGGATTTCGAGGCAGGAACCATCTATTTGGGAGCTGTTAACCACCTCACCCATATTCAGCCCCCAAAGCATAGTAACAGACCCATAACTCAATCTGGCAATGCGGGGTCTCGCTCTATTCAAAGTAAATGAGAAGTGAGACTCCCGTGGCTTGAAATGCAAGTGTATGAATCACCGCCAACTGGTTTTATGGGTGTGTGTGACATCCAGGACTTACTGCAGCCTTCGGCCTGAACAGAGGATGTCACTTCAGAGGAAATTAAACTGCTACATCACAGGGATAGCATTAAATACATCCCCACAAGAAACACAATAGGCAGACTCAAACATAACTACTCGCTTTGAAATTGTACCGTGCTTTTTAAAAAATGTTCTTTTAACATCCTTTCAATATTTTCAAAGACATGAACAGAAATTATGACGGACCTACAGCACACTTTTTACCTACATGTTTTTTAAACATACAACTTAGGTAATGCGTGGTCCAATAATGGTGAGGTGTACAGTCTGACTGAACCAGTTGCTTGTTGCTTGTCAATTGGTACTTGTGTCACTTTGAAACATCTTTACATTGCTCTAACTTTGTCTTGATCTTTCCCCCTTTTAAGCATTCGAACAGTGGCAGGGGAAAAGGTTCATGGCAAATATCTGGGTGTAAATGTAAACAGACACACCACACTGACACAGACATGGCACTCTTGAACATAATATAGATATTTAATAGGAACATGATTGCTAGAAAAGACTGAATAAAAGAGGATAGATTATAGAAAGGGGAGATTAAAAACAAGACTATATCCGTAACAGTCTATTAAGCCAACTTTGTTAATGATTGGCTATCATTTTAAACAGCACAGTCAAAATGTAGCATATCACAGCACCATGAGGCCATTTCATCAATACAGCAGCTTGTCCACTCACTACCTCCCACATGGCCTCCTGTGGACTGGGTGGCTCTGTGCCTGGAACAGCATCACATTTCAGGGAACACACACACACACACACATACTGCCGTGATTACACACCTGCACTCTTTGGCCTGCCAGGAAATTACATGAAAAATGACAATGATACATGAAAAAAAAAAGTAACCGAGAGGAGATCGGAACGGCCACCAGATGTTGGCGTCTCTGTATCGGTTTGAAGATAAGCTGAGGACAGAAGTTAGCACAAACTGTCTTCAAAGTGTAATATCTGTATGGTGACTCGGTGACCTCGATATGGGCAAAGGAGTGCAGGCACAGTTATCACAGTTATCCCTGGGTGAGGGGGTGGGGAGCTGGTTCCCATAACCTACTGAGTTTTTTTTACCCGTTATGATTTTCTCAATCTTCAGCTCCGATTTTCATTTATGTAGACACCGATACACTTAAACGGACACGTAATTCAATAATCTTATTTAAATTGTCTTTATTGTTGAAAATGACAGAGTACATTGTACGTGAAACAATAAATATCCAAAGCCAACACTTTTTTCCCCCCATGTCTGAGCTGGAAATACCAGGTCCCCTCAGCTCTGTGTTATTTTGTAGCCCTTAGAAAGAAACTCATCTGCATAAGTCTGATTTTAGTGCATGCTAGCAAAATACACTTTTAGCTACAAACATATTTAAAAGCTACTGTATGTTTGGAGATTTGACTACAAGAAATGTATAATGCCACATTGTTAAAAACATACTTAAAGCTCAACACTAAAGCAAAAGTTAGTACAAATAAGGAAAGAATGTAACCAAAGAGATGAACTTTGTACTCATTAAATGTTGTACTGTACAATAAGTTATTACAGTGCACATACCGAGACTACAACACAGATTGTAACATGGCTGGATGATGTTTTCTTGTTAAATCAATGTTCCCATCATGGTGCTGTCACCCTGCTGGGGCTCGGAAAAGCAGTGCTACATTATTGGAATCAAGTCCATCAACTTTGGAGTTTTACAGTACTGTCAGAAAATCAATGTATATAAACAATATGAACACATTTTCTAGAACAAGTATAATACTGTCATCCCTGCTTCAATTGAAACAATACATCATGGTGTTATTGGGAAAAAATCAACTAATGCACTCACAAAACGTATTTTTCTTTTAGTCATTATAGGGAAAAAATAGCACTGCTATAGACAGTAAACAAGGTTTCTGTTAAGAATCAGGAGACTGTACACTTATGAAACAGTGGGGTGAGTCTCTACCACGCCCAGCATGAGGAGGCTGCGAATTGAGCTCAGCAGAACAAAAACAAATTACAAGCTCAAGAGTCTTTTTCCTTTTCTTTCTTTTTTTTCGGAAAAATTTGCACACTGTGTGACTTTTGCTTATTGTGCAATGTAATCCAACTTGAATGACGGTATGATTGTGTCCCCTTCTCCTCCAGTCCGGATTGATGTGGAAATGGAATTGTATTGCATGTGAATCTAAGCATTTGTTCACCTTTTTTTTTTGCATATGTCTCTATGTACAGAGCACAGTCCCTTTGTTCGGCCACGTAGGATTCAAATCTCTCCGATCTCAGACGTGGGCGCTTTTTGCGTGGTTGGTGGAGGAGGCAGTTGGCAGGTTGCCACCCCCCTGCTTGGAGTAATAAAAATGGTTGTTGTCCTGGTGGGCACGGGGAGAGGAGGACTCTGATGAACAGGTGAGCATAGAGCCACTGAGCAGGCAGAATATAGTGCCCACCCATCCAGTGTATAGGGAGAAGCCAAATGACATCAGACCACTCTCCTGGTGGGCACCGATGGGGAACCAAATGGTGGACACCATGCCACACAATGCTAATGAGAAGAAAATAAAAGAGTTGTTGAGTTAGGAATACAATTTGACTGCATACCACTATAAATACACATAAACACCCACATAGAATTAAAATACTGTGACTGTATTTGACTTTTTGGCTTAACGCCTCTATCCAACTGACTGGCAAAAATAATATTTGCAAGGAGGAGTGGTGAGCCACACTACCAGCATGGTATTTGAAATCACACATAGATATGGTACAAATGATCTTTTATGTATAATCAAGATGAGAAACAGTTGAGGTTGCACTTAAATCGGGAATGCAAAATATGAACGAGCATGACCATTAAACAGTGCAGGATGCATTGCATGCTGGAGTCATTAAAGGGGACATACACAGAAATATTACAGTCTCATCTCAGTGTTTTTTTTATAGAGGTCATCCTGTTGTTAATGGGATAGGGTGGGTTTACAGTAGGTGCCAAAAAAATAGAAGAAAAAGTGACTTTTAAAGATTTATCTTGAATAAATTGTCTTTGTTGTGTGGAGTAAAGACAGAAGAGGACCGAGTTGACCTATACATGAACCACATCTACTTCTGTACTATAAACGCTTTTTATCTATGAGATATGCTTGACAGGCTGTTTGTAATGTTGCATCTAACCATCTGGACTTTCCATGAGTACCTACAATCCCCAGAGGCAGACTAATACACCAACAGTGAGATCCTACAGATAGATCTGTCCTGTACAGTCACTGAACTCCATGTACAGCTGACAGACGCTTTTTCTAGTGTGTGTCTGGCTTTTGCCGTAATGCACCAAAGAGTAATACAGGACCGCATCATACCATTCTAAAATAGTAGATAGGGCCCTTCGAAGCAGGAACTAAACAATTCACAGGGAAAATTTGCTTGGAAACGTGACTGAAAATTAACATTGAATGGAATTAAAGATATATAACAACAAATTAAAAAACATTAAAAAAATAAAACAACATTGTAACAAGTGGTTTTGGTGATGGGGAGATAAAGATCTAAATGAATGGGAAAAAAGTGTAGTGGCAAAGAAAAATGATGTGGAAACAGGCATTAAAGCCTCGCTTTGAGGGAAGCAGATGTTGGAAAATACTATGGCCAAAGTCAAATATTTATAATCACAGTAAAGTGGGCAGCTCAGTGAGGGGATTCCTGTGGGGGTCAGGACAAAGGCAGGGTGTGGATGAGAGTAGGTGGACGAGAGGAATGTGGTGGGGTCTGAGAGGAAGGGTTCAGTAGAACAGGAACAAATGAATGCGTGAGCGTGAACATGAGCATGTGTGTCCACCCTCGGGACGCTAAAAAATCTTCATTATCTTCTGCTCTCTGCAGCTTCGGTAAAGGTTAAAACAGATCACAATCTGGGGGTCTGGGGAACCTATGTTTCAATATCAGCATCACAGACTTTATATCTGGCTCAGATTTTCCATTTGTCTAACCTGAGCATTTTAAGTTGTAGGGTAAATACTTGGAATGTAAATGAATTAATGAAACAAACTCCTGTCTCTTACAAATTATGAGCATGAGAACTCCTCCGACGATGGCACGCTTGTTCTTGGAGCTCTGGGGTTCACTGCCAAGTCTAATGCAGGGCATGGACATGAGCAGCATTCCCACCGCCGGGAGACCCAAGATAGAGCCCGTGATCATCAGGGCACGAGTGGTCTGGATGTAGGCTGCAAAAAGGAGGAAGGAAAAGAAAAATCATCCATCATGTCACTGTGCTGGGTTGTAGGAAACATCTGGCACCCCAAGTTAAAGTGGAAAGGTTATGAAAACGCTATGCTGGCTTCAATAAGATAAAAGCTGGATTTTGAAATAAAGAAGCGAAAACTGACTTCATATTAGAGGTTTGACAAACTTCAAAGCAAACACAGAAACAGTTCAGATGACTGTATAGAAACAGGATTGTGTCTACCTGGCAGGTCCAGGATCTGAGTCAGGGACACGCAGTGGTAGAGTCCTGTGGAAAGGACACAGTCCGCCCAGGGTCCTTTGGATCCCAGCTCATCCATTTTCTTGCAGGTGTTCAACCCATATTTGCACATCATGACCCACTCGTTTGTGGATGTGGCAATCACAATGCCCAGCCAGCCAAGAAAGCCGAGGAAAAAGCCACTCAGTTGTAGACAAGAGTTTGCCATGGTACAAAGTGTGCGCGAGGACCACTTGTTTCTGGTTCAGAAAAACTAAGTTCAGCGCTGTACCTGACTGAAAATGCAAGGGGGAAAAAAATGTTGCGAAATAAATTGTAGGTCTGATATTCCACCAAATAAATTAATCCCGTTGAAATGTTGAATTTTCCCGGTTCAGTCCAGTTCAGTTATTCCATCCAAGGGAGCTATGACAAGCATTTGAAAAGAATGAAACTTTTCCACCGGCACAAGCTTTATAAGGAGAGGTTCAGAAAAGAGGGGAAAAAAGGCCCAAAACCTTTAACCAATCAGATTCATGGAGAAAAAAAACAGAAAAGAAAAGAGGAAAAAAAAGAAAGATTCAGTGTGGTTGGATGGGATGGTCCACCTCTGTTATTTAGGCATACACTGCCCCTGCCCCACAAGCTTGAGACTGCTGTAACAATTATTTAACAAGAAATCTGCTGCCATCTACTGGTTACTGCCATCCTACTTTTCTTATCTTACAGTTGCAAACCATTTTAGTCAAGTATCAAGGAAAATAAAATGAGGTATCCTATTCAAACAATATTGATAATCAAATTATCTAATCTTACTACATTAGGAAAGATTATAAAAACATTAAAACCAGCTTCTGATCTTAATAAAATACAACATCTCCTTGGGTTAAATCCAGACTAGGCTGTGCGATGCTTGGTGGAACAGCAAAACCCAACAGCTACATCTCAGTCTCTGCAGGCCTCAGTGAGCGTGCTGAATGTTAAAGGTCACGACAGTGTGATTATGAACAGCCTGAGCAAATGGTGCTTGTTTGAAAAAAAATGCCAAAGGGAAAGCTTTTTTTTTCTCTTAAAAGAAAATGTCAACACAGCTTAAGTTTGGGGGTTAAAAAAAAAAGCTACTTAAAGAACCGTAAGAATTCTGAAGTATTCTTTCACACACTGTACTTTTTTTTCTTCAAATGCAAAGACTTCTGTTAAACAAAAAGAAGATAAAGAAAATCAGTATATCAGCTCATTTGAGGCCATTTGTCTGAACCTTGGCTGAAAATGGCTCATGTGACAAGAAAATGATACTTGGAGTTTATCTACAGCACGATGGGGAAAAATGAAAAACAGAAAAAGAATCAAAGTGTTGCAAGATCCATTCAAGGCCCAGTTCTCGTTCAGATACGAAACAGCAGACTACTTCAACAAACTAACGAAAACCCTTTAGATATGGAGATGGACTCATCCATGAAGATTTTAGGGAAATGTTTAAAAGATGAAGCTATTACTGTAAAGTCCTGCAAACTGTAATCACGTAGATTGATACTTTCTGCTTCTGAATGTTCCCTAATTTATTTGCCATTTGTTTTTCTGAACAAACCTGTGTAGAAGTATGCTCTGAATAAACCAGTGGGGCAAAACTGATGCATGAAAATGATTTCACTAGGGGGAAAAAAAGCATCTGAGACGTAGCCTCGCTTTGGTTTCATTGGGGGACATGTTTGTCACGTGACCCTGAGACAAAGGTGTTCAAACTTTGGGACTGGCGGCGGTTCCTGCAGATAGACGGGGGCGACTGTCAGTTTGATGCTTCATCAGCCTCCAGCCGTCAGCCTGTGGGGCGTGTGGCTCGTTGAGCTGCGCTGACATTTGGGGAGATGAATTGACGTCCCTTGAACTCTGCTCCGACGAAGAGAAACGTGTCACTCTGAGTCCGTGAGTACGAAAACGAGCGGCTGAAACGTCGCCGAACACTGCTTCCGGTGTAGTCACCAACAGGTGAGAAGGTCAGTTTTTTGTTTCGTGTGTTTTTCTGTCATTCTTCACTTCACGCTTTGCTGTGTGTGAGCTTAAAGGGGAGAAGTTATTCTCACCTCCGTGTGTGAGGGTCCCACGAGTCAAATTCAGTCAACTAATTAAGTTAAATTTGTTTGCTCGTTAAATGTCATGTTTAAAAAAAAAAAAAAAAAAATAATAATATATATATATATATATTTTTTTTAAATTAATTAATTAATTTATTTATTTTTTGCGCGAAATAAAGCACCCAAGGCTGCGTTGTTCGTTTGTTTTTTAATGAGCTTAATTTTCCTAATGCCAGCGGGTATTCAGAATGGCAGGTTCGCACCCCCAATTGGTCAGCAGGGGGCGACATCGCACAGCGGTGGTCCATAATTGACATTCAGGTGTTGTAGAGCAGATTGTTTCATTCCTCCCGTCCTTGCTGGATGGAGTCAAGTAAGTCCTCCATCACTCACATCAGCAAAGTGACGTTGCTGCAGCAGCATAGCAATCAGTGTGAGAGGAAGACGGAGAACCTCTGAGCTGGGGTGCCTCAAATATTTGTAGGCCCGCAAGGTCACAAGGTCTTCTTTCTCCTAAGCGTTTTTCCCTTTGTGGTCATGCATTAGGTTACAAAACCAGCTGAAATCTTAACGGCTCAGAGAACATGTATCAGAAAAGCTACCTGTTTCCCAAATGTACCTGTCAAAATTCAATGGAGGGTGTATGCTTTGATATTTACATTTATTCAGGCAGGTAGAAGAAAAAAAAACATGGAATAAGTAAGGCTTCAGCACGTCGGCGTGGCAAAGAGCTGCTGCAGCCTGCATTTCTGCAGTAATGCCACTCTATCTTCTTAATACATGCTCAGTTTTTTTTTTCTGCTGCTGCTTCAAAGGGAAAAAGCTTCCTTTGAGGATAATCAATTAGGCCCCTTGCCGGGTTCCAGTGCAGGTAGATATTGAGCTGTGGTCACTCTGTGTGGCACTTTAATGTCTTAAATGACACTTCCGTGTTGGTGCTAACTCTTTTCCGTACTTGTTGAAGAGAAAATCCCTCTTAACTGAGATTAGATGGAGAGCTGCGGGCATTTAGTGGAATCTAGGCAATTACAAAGCTCTGCTATGCAATCTCTGAGAGCCTGGTGCTGCTCCGGTCAAGCCTTCCAGCTTTTTGCACCACCAACAGCCAAAGCCCGAGCTGTAATTCTACGTATTTTTGTGGACATTTGGTTGTTCTCGTTCTGATGGTTAGTGTAAAAATGAATAAAAATTATACAGGATTTCATCTCCTCAAATCTCTTAATTCAAAGTTTTTAAAACAGCTGTCATATGAGGATGGATTTTACTTGGAAAAACAACAAATGGTCCTCTTTGGGAGAAAAAGCCCGCCTCTAGATGAGACGTGATCTTCAAGCTAGTTTTGTGAACCAACCACTTCTGATCAAAGCTCGGAAAAGGGTTTGACTTAAAGGTGATGCAATGCCCTCTTAAGAATATCCCTACCAGCTGGTGCATGTATGCATGAGGGTGATACGGCATGATCAGCAGTCGGAAAGGAGAAGAAAAAAAAATTAATCTAAACATGAGAGAGCGAATCCTAATATGATTCCTTGAAGACTTTGTCTGACACATCCTGAGACTGAGGCAACAGGAGACTGGGGAACATTATGCTAATGATTTGAGGACTGCAACGACGATGCTGACGTGGAAGGATGATGGGATTGTAGTTCTCCTGGGATGGGGATAAAAAAAAAGGGGGAGAGTAGTTTGCGTGTGTGAATGAGGAGGCTCTCCTCTTACCCTTCATGCTGTCAGAACCGCCAGTCAGTCGGCCGGAGGAGATGAGGAGGAATGGCATGCACTTTGTCTTGGCAAACCAAGACTTGTGGTTGGGTTTAGAGGTGGGGTTACAATCGAAGAGGATGAATTATGAGTGAGGAGGTAAAGAGGAGCGATGAGAGAGTGATCACATGGTTGGGGTGAGCGGGAGAAGAGCGGAGCCTTCTTTCGACCAGCGCCTGTGATTGAGTGGCAGCCCCACTGGATGAGTCATCCATGCCTATAGTATGTGAATGACTATTTTTCAAAAAGCTGTCAAGTGACATTCTGTGATTAACAGAGGCAGAGACAAGGAAAAATGATCAGTTTGTCCCCACAGTGCAACAGTGACATGACTCAAACTGATAAGGTTTCACATAACTTGCTGCAGAGTGCATTTAAAGAGGGGGAGGGTTCTGAATTAAGTCTGAAATACCCAAGATTTGTTTGGTTGCCAAAGATCTTTAGCATGTGAAGTAATGAGTGTCTTTTTTGTATGTAATATTGCCTTTACAGCAAAATATTCCCACAGGTTTCATTTTCTGGTATTTGAGCTGAATTGAATTTGAAGCTTTCAGGCTGGCCTCCTTTCTTCTGTGCTGCTGGTGCTCATTGCATAACGTGAAAGGGACAGCAACATTCCCAGCACTGGAGAAATTATGGATAGGTTTGACTACATCATTTGAAAGCTGAGGGCCCCGGGAATCATGGTGTGACTCATGAAACTTTGCAAAAGAATACAAAGCAGAGCCATTTCCTCATATTGCTATTATTTAGCACTAGCGGATTTACCAAATAAAAGACCTTTTAAAAAAAAGAAAGATGTTTAAAAAAATATACATGTGATGGATTACACTTGCATCATCTTCTCTGCTCACATCCGTTTTTATTGTAGTGTCTGAGATTAGTCCCACTTTCTGCACACACTGCACCATTTTATCTTCGTTCCCAAACTACTGCGTCACTTTTACATGCCCATCAATGAACTTTAACTGACAGAAACCAAATATTCTGACTTGTGGCTCGGTTGCTGCTCTCAAGTGGCTCACTCCATTTTGTTTTTTTGCCAGTGTGCTATAACGGCAGAACAGACGGGCTCGCTGGTGCAGTGGGAGCCGAGTCGCAACTTGATTTGTGTCTAGTCCTCCAGTGTGTCTGCAGTGTAACAGCCATCACTCACCCCTAACTGTGTTAGCCATTAGTATCAATTAATCTCAACAAACGCTGTTGGTCATTACACTCAATACATCACCAGAGGCTCTGCTAACTATGTACCACCCAGAACAAAACGCTGAGGCGCAGCCAAGTCGCCCCATGGAAGGAGATGAGGGATACATATGTCACTCCCCATATGGCAGAAGAAGTGGGGTAGAGGAAAGTTCCAACTAGACGCGGGCAAAAAGAGGAGGTGGAGGGCAGGGGAGGGAAAAAAAGAAGGTGATTTATAACTCACTTTGGTCCTCTGGGACTGTGTAGCGCACAGTCTTGTCAACACAGTAAATCTGCTCTCTGTATTTGTCATAATAGTTCATTAGTGCTGGGAGGAGATTTACTCAGGTAGCAGAGATGAGGAGTTTGGATTCGGAGAGGGGCATTTTGTCTTAGAAAACGCAGGGTCTGAAACTCTCATATATAAACATATTTTGAAAGCATGCCACATAAACTTCTTTCCATTAAGCATGCACTCCT